ATCCGGAGTACCCACAAATGTCTAAACTTTGTTTGGTGTACTACGTTCAAATATTTCCAGCTAAAATAAAAGAGTAAATACTTGTTTAACATTTGAGCCATCATGTTCTTCATATTACCCTCAATAGCAATACAATCAACTTTAGAGGTCTGATATCTAATATTTTTAATTTGGACTTTATCAAGTAGTTCATTTATTTAGTTTATAAAAGTGTTGTTTTCAGTGGCGAAGTTCATCATAAAATTAATTTATTGATCACAACAAGGCACAAAAAGGAAAATTCCAGTAGAGATCTAATTAAACCTTTAGAAATAGAATGTTTCTATACTGATAGATAGCTATTTCTCAGAGAGAGAACCTTTCTAATTCAAACTAACATTGATAGGTAAAGATGAAGTTTATCTAAAATAGATAAAAACTGAAATTATTAAATATTTTTTAAAAAACCATTAGATCATCTCCTAATAAATAGGAGAGACTTGGACTAGTCTATCAAAGTGTTGAATTATTAAAGTTTTTAGACCTATCGTAATTAGAAAAGAGGATTCCATTAAATAGGGTTTCAATGACATATATATATGTAAATTGATTAGTCTGAAGTACTTGAAAATATTTTCTTAAATTTTTATTCCCCTTTAATTTACATTATTAATTTGTACTCTAAGAAAGCATTTTACTGACCAAAAGTAAGTTATAGCTCAGAAATTGCTCAGTTCCAAATTAGTCGATTTCCAATTTAATAAAATCTAAATTCATGAGGGTTTAGAATAAGCATAGTTTGTTGCAAGGGGAAAAAACTTAACCATATTATGGGGGAATCAGAGTTACATGACCCTAAGCCAGTGATCAATTTTAGCATGGTGGCTTAAACAGCTGTTACATATCTACATAAGACGTAGCAACACCACCTGTGATGTGTTCTGTTGCACAGAGCTGAACTTGAATCGGTAAAGCCTTTATATAATGTTTGCTTTACAGGAAATACAGGGGATAGAGAAATAGGCTAAATGACACCACAAGAAATTTATCAGACAAATCCAGAAGCTGAGATGTTCTGAGGAACTACTCAACAGCTGTCTCTTTAACAAGGGACTGTGCTAGATTAAAGAAAGGCTAAAGGGACACATCACCCAGATGCAAGGGTGATCCTAAATTGAGTCTAGTCTGGACATGCAAGCTGTGAAACATTTTTTGGGGTCACAAATGGGAATATGGTCTGCTTATTAGATGAGATAAAATTTTTCTGAAATGGAAGTATGGACATCAGTGATTGAAAAAAGCAGGTTAAAAAGCTGTATGTAAAATATGATTTCATATTCTCCTTCTGGTCTAAAAATACGTGTGTGGACACAGAAAAAGTCTACATTTTAACAGCGATGATCTTGGGTAATAAGAATGTGATCATTTTATTTTTGCTTGTGGTATTTTCTAGTTTTCTACAACGTATGTGTACCGCTTCTGTTATAATAATAGACTAGTTTTAAAATATAAATTCTATGGGAAATTTATATGACTATTTTTTATGCCAATAGATCCATTTATCACGGGCTATCATAGAAAATTTATTAAAAAAAAAAGATACTGACATGAGTAGAAGCCAAAGAAAACTGGAGGTCTATATAAAAAGGTCTCAACTTGCATTCTTTGATTATTTACAATGCTTTGACGTAGTCAAGATAAATTTAGTATCTTCTGTCATTTCACATACAAAATGCTGTGCATTAAAAATGTTGTCTTGACTTTTTCTCACTAGCGGTGTAACAGCTCTTCTAATAATTATTAGATAGCCCAGTATGAAAGGTATTTTGCTAAATAAGCTCACAAAGCATAAAGGATTTTAGATGCCCTTGCACAAGAATCAGTTTCTTTTTCACCAGGAAGGGTCAAACTCAATGGTTTTAGGATCACCACTATATATGCGAATTGGATTCCTACAAAATAAGCAGCCGTTTTAGAACATACATATTCACACTCTGATTGCTTTAAAAGTAAGTCAATGAATGTATAATTTTTCACTAAGAGAGTTTCAATTTCAGTTGAATGTGACCACGAACCAATTTCCTATCATTTCTTTTAAAACTCATACTGAAGTTGTATTGTTAGAGAATTCTTCACATTTTAGATTTAAGGTTGATCTTTTAAAAGTCCAACTTCTTTTAAAATTGAAAATTACTTGGCATATTTAACTATCACTTATTCATATCGGAATTAATTAGATCTGGAGGTTAAAATGGCTGAGTTTGAAACCTACTACTTATTAGCTGTGTAACTTTTGGCAAGTTATCCCAGCCTAGCTAAGCCTTGGTTCTTTTAATCTACAAAACGGCGAAATAGTATTCACCTTCCAAGGTTATGACGGTTAGATGAGATTTTGCTTAGAAACCCGCCTGTCACATGGTAAGAGCTCAATAAATGTCCATGACGATGATGGTGACTCTCATATCCTGACACGCCATTCCTGTCCTATATGGAGGATGCTGCTGGACATCTCCACACTGATGCCCACCAGGTATCTCAATCTTACCAGCTGTAACAGAACCACTGCTCCTCGCTTCTCCCCATGTCCCCATCTCAGTTAAAGGCACCATCATTAACGTCGTTACTCAGGACCTGAACCTGAGTCATTTGTATCCTCCTTTTCACCCACTGTATCAAATTCCTAATTAGCTCTATCTTCAATATATTCTGAATCCAACCACTTCTCACAGGTCTTTCGTTACCACGCCAGTCCAAGTCAGCATCATCTCCAGCCTGGACAATTGCAGAAGACTCTAGATACAGCTTGATGTTTTCCCCTTTGTCCACTCACCCGCCTCAGTCTATTTTCCACCCAGATGCCAGAGTCTTTAAAATATAAACGAGGTGATGTCACTTCCTCGTGTAAAACCCTTGAACGGCTTCCCACCACACTTAGAACAAAATCCAAACCCCTTCCCTCAGCCAAAAGCCCCAAAGTGACTGGGCTTCCAGCTCCCTTCTCTCCCAGCACTTTCCTCCTCCCCCACTCAGCTCCGGTCACACTGGCCTCCTTTGCTAGTCCTCGGGCAGTATGAGCTTGCCAAACACACTTCTGCTCTAGACCTTGAGCCTTGCCAGCCCTTCTGTAGGAGCAATTCCTTCCCCAGGGAGCTACACGGCTCTCCAGCTCAATTCTCTGCTCCGAGATCAGGTTTTTTCAGACCACGCCATCAAAAGCAGCGCCCCCCCATAGCTCTGTTTTATTTTTCTTCGTGGCATTGTTACTACTACAATAAGCAGTAACTTATTGTTAATACTTATATATATAATAAATATATCTATAAGATATAAATATACATTATATGTATACTGTGTGTGTGTAAATTCTTGTATGGCCTGTCTCCCAAACTAGCACATAAACCCCATGAAAGTGAGCACTGTTTTACTCATTGCTGGATCCCCATTCTCAAGAACAGCGCTTGGTACACTGCAGGTATTAAAGAAATACTTTTTCAATACCTGAGGACTTTCACTTGTGTTAAATTGGCTTGGGGTTAGCTAAGTATTCCAATCACTACTAAAATAAGCCCTAAACAAAAAAAAGCAAGCAGAGTAGCTACATTAGTTTTTCTATATTCCATGCACTTTGCAGAATTCTTACAGATCTAGGTTTAAAAATAGGTATCATAAAATGCTTCATCTTTATTCAGGAAATCTAGCAGCAATCTAGCAGAAAAACAACCCCTTTTATTTCATCAGAGTGCTAAATGAAAATAAATATATTTTTTAAAAGCTTCTGTATTTGAAACAATTAAGTGATCAGTTACTTGAGTGAAAGACTTGGAACAAAGGAAAAGAGAAAAAAGTTTTCCCTGGTTTTATTTATTACTAAATGGTTCTGTATAAAGAAATTATGGTATTATGGGATAAAATTGTTTTTAGATTCAAATAAAAGGAAAAAGTCGCATCAAAATGTTAACGAAGTAAAAAATAATTTTCTCCCCTAACAATTCTTTTGTAAAAGTCCCAAACTGTGGTTCTAAAATGATAGCTAAATACTTGAAATTTAAATTCACCATAAAAATAAAGTTGCTTTAATCTACTGTATGTCTAAATTATGATAGAGACCATGAAAATAATTTTCTAGTATCATAAAACTGTTGAATCCAATGCATACACAGCAGTATATGAGTAAAGTTCCCATAGATAATGAACTCTCTGACCCTCTGTCACGTTATCTGTGCTTTTCTTACAACATAGCACTTTTTTCTTTTATTTGCAGATATTGGCATTTTAGGACACAGGACTGTGTCTGCTGCATCTCTGCAGTCTCCCACAGTGTTAGCACAAGGACTGGGCTGCTCAGGACACATTTTCTGAACGACAGAATGAATGATGCCAAAGGTTAAAGTTGGAGAGTGATAACGGTAATATCTGCATAAATATAACAGTGGATATATACTTGGAGAGTTCTAAATAAGTCCAGTTACTGCTCTTTTATATCATATCCTATGAGAGAAAAGGATAGGGAGTTAGATAAATTTACAAAAGTGGTTTACAGGCACTCTCTTCTGTTTCACAGTATTTATCACAACTGAAGTAAGGCCATTATTTGTGTAGTTATTTGCTTGACATCTGTCTTTCCCACTTTAAGTTCCAGAGGATAAGAACTGTATATGGCTTCTCAGAGCCTCAGCATCTCACGACAGCAGGGGCCCAATACATGTATATTGTGTCAATGAATGCAGTAAGGGCTGTGCCACTGTCTAATTGAAAAATGACTGGGTCCCCTTCCCAGCTGGGTTTACTCACAGGACCTAATAGCTTATTTTTCATTCGTTTTAGGATGCACACTTTTTCACACGCATCTGCCAACATATAGTGTCTTAGTATCATGTATAGTTTAATTGGCAGCACTTCGCCTTCTGACTATTACATAAAATAACATTGTTTTACTAAATGATGGTGTTTTAGAATCAATCAAATCTACTTATGGCTAATCCCATCTTAATATGGAAAACATAAAAACTTCAAGTACTTACATCAATTAAATCTGAAAGATCATGAATATAATACTTGAAAACTGAGGCATTGGTTGCTTCAAGGGTTAGGAGATATTCATTCCGTGCCTTAATCGATTTTAGCTTATTTTCCGAATACTTTGCTTGTCTCTGGAAATGAAGAAGAGCCAGGCATTGGGAAAGACAACAAAGTCATTTTTAAATAAGACAAAGAAACATACATGAATTTCTATTAATCTAAACAATTTACTCTACATATACCAATGACCTTCGAAGTCCTTTGAGAAAAGTACATTTCGAATTGGATTTAAATAACAAACTAAAATTACCCAGCTACGGGAATAACGACAATGTATTTGGGCTTCAGGCCCATTTGCAATGAAATCTCTTCGTTAATATTCAAGTTCTCTGTGTTGTGTGTTGAATACTTGGCATTCACCACTAAACGATGTCCAGCTGTTATTACGTGATTTTTATGTTTCTTAAACACTTTCCATTCCCGTGGGAGGAAACGCACATCAATTCCCAATAACTTACAACGTGCCTCTATCAGCTCTGTATCAGTCTTCTTGGTGCTGTCACCTCCAGTGAGGAGACAAAGGCCCTGCAACATATTTTTCTTTACCTTTTCTTTCATTTTTTCGATTTTCTTTACAGAGCTCCGTCGCTGATGTCTCTCTTCTAGTCTGATATGGAAGACCGGGTCCCCAGACCTTCCAATTTGCTTTTCTTCTTGTTTTTCAGCCTCTTTCAGCTTGCTCTCTGCACTGATGCTCTCTGCATGGTACATATGGTACGTTTTCATCACCTGTGAAAATGGGACCCAAACTGTTAAAAGCTGTCTGTCTGTAACTTGGAGAGTGAATGGAAACCATTATATGACGTCTATGTTAAAAACACCACCTTCCAGCTGGCAGGGGTGAGCCAGATTGGTAGTAAAATAGATGAATTATGGACTATTGCTTCTAAATAAAGCAAACAGAAATATGCAAATTCACCTGCCAGGAAGAGGCACTGAGGGGCAGGCTTTGATGAAAAAATGATTTACAGGGTCTTCTGCGTGCTTTCAGTGCACTTGAAAAGTTCCCTGAAGCTGGAGTGTTTCTCTGAAATCTCCTCTGCATTATTAATTTGCAGAATAAACCATTATTCATGGGTAAATTTGAGCCAACCTTGGAATTATAAAAAACTCCAAGTTAGTACAGCCCTTACTAAAGGAATTTTACTGCATAAAATTTGTCAAAATACAAAATGTAAATATGAAGGTTTATACATAGTTTTAGTCTTAAAAAAATTGTTTTTCTGACCACAAAGTAATACTTTATGGTCAGTATAGGAAACGTGTGATATAAAAAAGAAAATAAACAAAATAAAAAGCAAGCAGAGATAAGCACTGTTAAGATTCAGGGGGGCCAGCCCAGTGGCGCAGTGGTTAAGTTCATGTGCTCCACTTCAGTGGCCCAGGGTTTGCAGGTTTGGATCCCAGGCGTGGACCTCCACACTGCTCATCAAGCCACGCTGTGGCAGCACCCCACATAAAATAGAGGAAGACTGCCACAGATGTCAGCTCAGGGCCAATCTTCCTCACTAAAAAAAATAAATAAATAAAAGATTTTGGTATACAGCCATCTCGCCTTTTTCCTATGAAAACACACACACACACACACTCTCTCTCTCTTCCCTCCCTTCATTTTAAAATGACACATATCATTTCTCCTTCCAAAAAATGTGGATCATACTATATTTACAATTTTCAATCTATATCCTTTTTTCACTTAACATACCAGAACATTTTCCTATATCACTAAATATTCTTCTGAAACATAATTTTAAGGCAGGGCTGGATAACATTTCTTTACATGACTATGCCATAACCTACTTAACTAAATCCCTATTATCGAACATTTTAGGATATTTCAACGTTTTGCTTTACGAATAAAGCTGTGCTGAAAACCTTGATGTCTATCCTATCTTATTTCTTCTCTTAGAAATGAAACATATAATTTGCATTTTAATAGATTTAGGAAGATATAGAACATAAATTTTGTAATGTATCCTTTCCATGTATATTATAAATTTAATGAATCCTCGATTAAAAATTTTAAGGTTTAAAAATCAAAAACATTTAAGTCTTTAAAAAGTTTGGTTATATTATCATTACAGAAATGTTTGTGCACAACTTTGTGTCATATTTCCTATGACATATTTCCGGAAGTAGAATTGCAGAGTTGGAGAATCTGCACATTTTTGAGGCTCTTGAGTCAAAGTGCCCATTTAACACGCTGATAATTTGAAGAAAACCTAACCTATATAGTTACTTCCCAAAGCATTTTAATGATACAGATGTTTAAAAATATTTTCTCAAATGATGAAGTGCATCATTATTTATTTTTATATCTATCACATATTTGTATAAAGTCTCTGTAGTCTTAGATACAGAAGAATAATAGTCACAGATTTTAAGAGATTTTACCTGAAAATCAGAGTTTTCCAATATAATTTCAATCTGCTTTTTTTTTTTTTGAGGAAGATTAGCCCTGAGCTAACATCTGCTGCCAATCCTCCTCTTTTTGCTGAGGAAGACTGGCCCTGAGCTAACATCCATGCCCATCTTCCTCTGCTTTATATGTGGGATGCCTACCACAGCATGCCTTGCCAAGCGGTGCCATGTCCGCACCCGGGATGCGAACCAGCGAACCCTGGGCCGCTGAAGCAGAACGTGCGAACTTAACCGCTGCAACACCAGGTCGGCCCCATCAATCTGCTTTTATATGCAGAGTCAGACATCTGGGCCAATTCTGAAACCTGTTTATTTTGAAAATAATTATATAAGAAAGGACATAGATAAGATGTGATGACTCCAATGTGACTGAAGTATCAAGGACCATCCCAGAACTCAGCACGCAAGTAATGGGTGGAGGCACTTTCTCATATGTTATGTCAAATTCTCATCCATATAAGAGAGATTCCATTTCATTTGTAAATAAGTTATTCAGAGCCAATTTTATAACGAAGGTGTAGTTTACAAGAGATTAATGGAATGTTTTGAAGTTAAGGAACTTGATTTTTTTCATTCCAAAAGATGAGTTTTAAAATAGTTTGGGAACTAAAAGCATCACTGGAACGAATCTATTTAGGTTGAATCCTATGAAATTGCTGGTTTTGTAGGTTATATAAAAAAGGTAGAAAATCAGCACTTTCTTTGGTTCAACTTAACATTCTCAAGATGACTATTTTGAAGAGTAAAGCATGGGGTTAATGAAGAGTCTTTACTTATTTTCATAGAAGCTGATGATGTCTTTCCTTAAAAACGTGAGCTAGCGAGTCCTGTCAAGGCACTGCTGACCAAGAACCAAGTGAGGGCTAGACCACAGGGTCGTCTGTTTTCAGTAATTATCAAACCCGTCCAGGGGAAGTTTGGTTGGCTACTCCAGTTTAAAAGAAAAATAAAATAGCACTCGGAAACAGCTGGGCAGCTGGGGAATGAAAAGGGAGTCACCGTGCAGCTGGGCAAACAGCGAGGTCAATGGAGCTATTACACACCTTGCATTTCTAGGCTTGGCTCTGTTTATATTCCCTGCCGGAAGCAAACCCACATACCATTTGGGTGCTGGTTCCAGTTACATCTTTAAATGAGAGGGTGGAATAAACCAAGCTCTCTCTGTCTCTCATACACACACACACACACACACACACACACACTCTCACAGAGTCGCTCAGCTGTCTGTATTCTTCTTGCTTATAGACACGAAGGAAGAAATGAGGACACGTGACTCCCATCATCACTGGATGGAAAGGCATCCCAGACAGCCCTGTGAATCTGAGAAATCTCTCTCTTAAATATATCCCGAAGACAAGACCTGAACTCCTGACTCTTGTTTACCGTGGATGCTGAGGACTCACGTAAGCAGGTAATTTGCACACACTGAGCCTGAGGATACTGAGCTGGCTGCCAGCACACGGTTCTCATTAAGCAGCCCGCGTTGAGAGGAAAACATCTGAGTCCGCCCTAACACTGGCAAGAAAAGGGTGTCAGTCTCTCGCTATCATGTGGTTCAGCATAAGAGCTGAGGGTTCTCTAACCAGTTCAATGGTAATTTCCAGAACATTTCTTTGTTCGGCTTTCCAACATGACTTAGGGTTTCCATGATTCTCTAAAACGTTAACAGTTACAATGAATGAATTTTAAAAGTCAGGAGGAAAAACACTAAAAGCTTTTCTGAGAACTCTAATTACAGATAATGAAGGCAAGCACAAACTGCATTATTTAAAATGTAAGCTGTTGACAGAAGTTAAATGTGTTTTGTATTTAAAATAACAGACAGTTCTCTCTTTTTCAGAGAAGTCAAAGAAAGCTTTTATTTCTTAAAGGTGCATTCTGAATACATACGGCAAAGAAAATAACAGCTTCTCCATCAGCTTAATGCAAACACAAGCCTTTGCATGCCAAATGACATACTAGGCACACATCCATTTAAATGTACTCCAATAGCATATTTTCCTATTTGAATTCTTCTCCACTAAAGCCTTATGCATAATTCTCCATTGAACACACTCAATTTATCTTCCTGCTCCATCTTTCCTTAGCTGCAGGACGAATATAGCCAAGCAGAAAGTGGCCACATCATGGAGTTCTTTCTGAGACTGTGAAATCCTATATAAAAACTTTTGCACAGAAGCTGTTAATATTTTTTTCTTACTGACAGACCTATGTATCTGCCACTACTTTAAATCAAAATAATTAAAATAGCTATAGTAAATTTCAATATTCACTGTCAAGAAAACACTATGTATCTGAAAACCGCCCATGTGTTGCAGAAGATCAATGGATTAAGGCTATAAATTCTACTTTTTGACTTCTGGCTCAGAAGTTAGAAGACTTAGATGGTTCCAGGAATGGATCTACCAGTTACTAGGTGTGGGGAAGTTAACACTTCTGCTCACCTTACAAGGTTGTTGTGGACACCCAATTGTGCATTCCTGTGTCCATGTGTGTGTGTAATTTAAACTTTACCGAGTACTTACTATATTGGTGTGTATATATATGTATACCACTAATATATATGTGTACATATATGTAATATGTATATATTTAGCCAAATAAGTATTACATAATGCTCACTACATGACAGACATTGTTCTAAGCATTTTGCAAAAATAGCTTATTCAATCCTTCTAAAAACTCTCATGAGGTAGGTACCTTCATTCTCCCCATTATACAGATGAGAAAAGTGAGGCATGGAGAGGTTAAGCAACTCGCCCAAGGTCACACAGCTGGTAACTGGCAGAGCAATGGTTGGAAGCCTGGCAGCCTGGCTCCAGATTAGGTGTTCTGAACTGCTAGGCCATAACCTTTGGAAAGTGTAAAGCATCATCCAAATGGAAGGCCTCTTGACCTGGAGCATATAGTTACTCTTGGTTATTTTTAGGAATGGAGGCAAAGAAGGAATGAAAGATAATTAGTTATTCATTTGACATTTGCTTGGTGCTTCCCACCAGTAAGGCACTGATAGGTGTAAAAATCAAGGCTTGGTTTTCATCTTCCAAGAGTTTAAATTTTTAGAGATTGAAAAATAGGCCTTGGAGATTCTGATGGGCCCCAGGGAAGGGAGAGGGCATTCAGGCTGGAAGGACAGTATCAGCAAAGGTACAGCGGGCAGGTGGGGCCCACACGGGGGAGGTGCGCATGAGTAGACCAAGATGGCAGAGGAGGGCATCCAGCAAAGTGCCTGAGGAGCGGATGGTTGGGTGACTGAGCTGAAGGGTAAGACTGAAGGAGTGAGCATGTGCCAGCTCAGGAGAGCCTTG